ACTTGCCCACAGCTGCATGGTATATGGTAGACTCCTGGTATATAGCAGGAGTCTACTGTATACCATGCAGCTGTGGACAAGTCTACATAGGGATCCAAAAACTAATCAAGGAACATGAAAGGCACTGCAGACTATTTCAGTCAGTCATTGCAGAGCACCTGATGAACCAACCTTGGGGATCCCAGACAAGAATCAATCAGGGCCAGCTAACACCTCCCAAGAAAATAATCCCCCAGGCAGCAACCAGCCAGGCTTTGAAACTGCAAGGCTATTAAATGCTAATCAAGGTGGCCAATTGCAACATTCACACCTGCCTCAAGCAGACAAAGTTCTTTCTCCCACCCTGGATATTCCACAGATATATAAACCCAACTTGCCTAGTTTCCAACAGACCCCTCAACCTCTGAGGCTGCCTGCCATAGATGTGGGCAAAATGTCAGGAGAGAATGCTTCCGGAACATGGCCATACAGCCAGAAAACTCACAGCAACCCCAAAACACTCGGGGCTTATTAAAATAGGAAAGAGAATGTGGCCAAGCAAAGGGAAGGGGTTATGAACTCTTCATCCTAAGTAATAGCCTAAATTACACCTATGAAATGATACTGCAGTTATCCAAAATTATAAATATGTTGCCTTTAAGCCACAGCCTCACAAAAAATAGAGGAATGCTCCCTGGACAAGAATTTAAAAGGTAGGGTTTTTTTAAAGGTAGTAAGAGCCTTCCCTAAATGACATATTTGTGATCATATAAATCTTGCTCCTTTTACTAAACTTACCCTTGGAGAGGAAAATAAATATTTGCTCGTCTTTCTCAAGATTCAGGTGCACTGAACATGGGGTTATTGCGTAAGGCAAGACTACAGAGTAATATTTCAGTTGCAAAAGAGTGCTCATACTTAAGCGGAAGAGTATATATAACATAATTTGTGGCACATGTTTTTCCTTCCCCATGTTCACTTTGAAGCAATTTGAAAATCTGCTCCATGAGGTTTTCCCTCAATCCAATAGAGTTTGTTCTCCCCAAATGCAAATTCAGTGGGAACTTTACCTTCTCCTACTTCTGCTGAATGCCATTACAAAATGCTTCAAAATGATGGATGCAGTGTTGGATATTTCCATAAAGGTGTCATGTTATAAATACACAAAAAGTTGCTAATGGTAAAGAGTTATCAAGTTTTACTAACCATTTTGAGCCAGGAAAAAAATCTTAAACATAGAAAAGGAAAATATCTCAATAGGCCAGGCATGGGCAAACTTGGGCTCTCCAGGTGTTTTGGACTTCAACTCCCACAATTCCTAACAGCCTACCGGCTGTTAGGAATTGTGGGAGTTGAAGTACAAAACACCTGGAGAGCCCAAGTTTGCCCATGCCTATATTAGGCCTTATGTTGGGGGTTGCCATCTTACGAATGGCTGGGGCTAGGGTCTATTTGTGTTGTTGGGAGAGACATCTAGCAGTAATCATTTGAAAATCCATACTCTACTGTTTCAAAGGGTATAAGTTTCAATTCATGAGCAGTTTATGGTTGCAGAGATATAGCCATATCAAATCAGGTCAATCTTTTTGAAACACCCTGTATTTTTCCAGGGGAAACCCACATTGGAATTGGAACCAATTTTGGAGGGAGGGAGTGAAGTGCCTCAAGATTCCCAAGTGAGTCATTATGAATTTTGCCTCCTTTCAGGTGCATTTTTACAAGCCAGTGAAAACACAAAATACATTGCATCAAACGAGCAATAATAAACCCATGAAAGCAATTACTAACGTAACAACCATGAAAGGAGTCAAACTAAATCAAATAATTGAACATTTCTTGAAACATCAAAAGAAATATATCAAGAAAGGGGGGATGTAAATATTTCTATAAGTGAATGCAAAATAGTTAACAAAACGTAGGGAATTGATCCATAAAAATGGTTCAAAAGTCACTGCAAAACTGGAGGGGTGTGTGTTTTGTTTCTAAAGTGTTTCTAAAGCATACTTGGTGAAAAATTTGTTACTATAACAAGACTAACAAAATTCTGTTACTATTTTGTTACAGTATTTGCGCATTATTAAATTTCTATCATTGGGAAACTTCAGGGGCTTCTGTCTTCCTCGTTTTTAAAGCTATTGGGGTGAATCTTGCTACAATGGTAGAACACATTTACCACTAGTAGCCCAACAAATTTCGGAACATTTCACTTATCCACTTATTAAGGGAGAGTAGAAGAAGCAACTTCTCTAAAAGGAACACTTCTGAAACTCTGCTGAATATATATATGTGTGTCTCTGTGTGTGTGTGTTTGTGCATTGGCATATCTTTGTTCCTAACCCTTCAAAGACATACCTAGGTACATCAGTTTAACAGCTGAGAAACCTAGTTGCCTTGCATGAATGCTCACGAATGCAATTTTCCCAATAGGCTATGACTCTTACCAGGTCATGCTTTTGACCAAGAGGTTATGATTTATAGTTCACCTACAATCAAAGAGCATTATGAACTCCACCAATGAGGGAATTGAACCAAACTTGGCACACAAACTCCCATGACCAACAGAAAATACTGGAAGGGTTTGCTGAGCATTGACCTTGAGTTTTGGAGTTGTAGTTCACCTACATCCAGACTGCACTGTGGACTCAAACAAGGATGTGTCTGGACCAAACTTGGCACAGATACTCAATATGCCCAAATGTGAACACTGGTGGAGTTTGTGTTTTCTGATGGTCTTTGCCAACCCCTCTGACACCCCCTTGTGACCCCCCCCCACCGGGGTCCTGACCCCCAGTTTGAGAGACACGAGTTATGGCATAATTTTTCAAAAGGTTGTGGCTTCTAATAAAGTCATCCCTTTCCAAAGATCACAAAATCTCTAAAAAGATTATGGAGATTTCCATTTTCCAAACAAGTCAGTTTGAAAACTACACTAAATAAGTAAAGATGGATAAAATAATGAAAACCCCATGCAGCAACCCCCAGGTTGGTTCTGAAAAAAACTTTCTGCCTGCAAGGCCTACTTCCCTGACTTCTAGGGGAGGGGAGTGGGAGCCTCCAACCAGCCTCCCTTCTCTTCTTGCAGCAGCAGCAGCAGCAGCATGATTTGGCTGCCTCTGAAGACTGCCTGGAAGCTTCAACTACTCCAATGGTCGGCAGCCAGGTTGCTCACTGGAGTGGCATACAGGGAGCATACAACTCCTCTGTTACACCAGCTCCACTGGCTGCTGATCAGCTTCCGAGCACAATTCAAAGTACTGGTTTAAACCTTTAAAGCCCTAAATGGTTCTGGCCCAGACTACCTGTCCAAACAGATCATCTGGAGAGACCCTGCTCTTCACCCCACCACCATTGGTGGGGATGAGAGGCAGGGCCTTCTCGGCAGTGGCCCCCCATCTGTGGAACTCTCTCCCCAGGGACATCAGGTTGGCCACCTCCCTCCTGTCCTTTAGAAGAAAATGGAAGACTTGGCTTTGGGACCAGGTGTTCAATTAGTGGACAGCGGCAACTGGAAAGAAGACTTAGGATACCTGCGGCATTGAATTAATCCAGACTTGGATTTGGTTTTAACTGGCATGTTTCATCTATTGTTTAATGAATTGTTTTATTGTATTTTAATGTATTTTTGACTGTTTATATGGTGATAGCATCAATGTAGGGTGCTTGTGTGAGGCTGCCCTGAGTCCCCTTTTGGGAAATGCATAAAATAAATGAAATAAATAAATAATACTCCCTCGGGTGAGCAAAGGGAAGGCTGAGCGAAGGAAAATAGATGCTTTTGAACTGTGGTGCTGGAGGAAAGTTCTGAGAGTGCCTTGGACCACCAGAAGACCCAACCAGTCCATACTTCAGGAAATAAAGCCCGACTGCTCATTGGAGGGAAGGAGCATAGACGCCAAGATGAAGTCCTTTGACCACATCATGAGAAGAAAGGAAAGCTTAAGAGAAGACAGGAGAGAATGCTTCTGGAATATGGCCAGACAGCCTGGAAAACTCACAACAACCTGATTGTGTTGTCGCACGCTGGGCCTGTGCATCAGACTGTAGACAGGACATAAATTCTGTGTGCCCAACGGGACGCCGGGGCTGCCTCAGATTAAAGGCCCTTGGACCTCCCCAAAACATAGTCTTTAGATTGCTTAAAGGTTCAACAAAGTTCTTTATTAATAAAAACAAACAGGTACTTCAAGGCTTTCTTAATAGTCTATTGCACTGCTTCTCTCCCAGAAATCCCAAGAAATCCCCAGTTTACTCCCAGAAATCCCCAGTTTACCAGCTGTTAGGATTTCTGGGAGTTGAAGGCCAAAAACATCTGGGGACCCCAGGTTGAGAAGCACTGGTCTATTGGCTCTCTCAGTCTTGTTCACTGGGAACAGGCACTATCTTCTTAACTGTAATTTCACGAATGGGGAAATCTTTAACTTCTAATCTGGACAGTCTGTACTTGCCTCTGTTGGCGTGGAGCCCCTGCACCTGGTACCAACTGCTTCTGGCTTCCGCGAGTGACCCTTACCAAGCAGGGACTCTGCATGGAAAGCTTCTCTGTGTGGACTGAACTCAAAAAGGCTCCTATTCCCTCCAAAAACCAAAAAGGGGCGGGACCAGGGAACCTAACTATAATTGACAGGTGGCTTGCCCTATGATTGCAGCCAAAAGAAGCCACCTATCTGCAGAGTCCCTGAAACTTAGGACTATAACAAACATTAAATGCAAAGCAAACAAAATTGGAGCTCCTGGTGCAGTTGTACCTGCACAGGGATCCTTGAAGTGATTGGATTGACTTTGAAGGAGCTGGGGGTGGTGACGGCCAACAGGGAGCTCTGGCGTGGGCTGGTCCATGAGGTCAGGAAGAGTCGGAAACGACTGAACGAATGAACAACAACTCCCTCGGGTATCAAACCTGGGAGCCCCCTCCCCTTCCTCCTCCTCCTCCTCCTCCTCCTCCACCTTCGGGGCCACTCCACCCCCTCCCCAGAGACCCAGAAGGCGGGGACGGCCTTCCTCCTCCTCCTCCTCCTCCTCCTCCTCCTCCGTCACGTGTGGAAAACAAGCGCTCCTGCCCCATTTCCCCGGCGCGACGGAGAAGGCAGGGAAAGGCGGCGAGGGTCTCCTCCTTCTCCTCTTCCTCCGACATGAAGATGCACTTCAGCATCCCGCTCTCCGAGGAGCTCCTGGAGAAGTTTGGCGGCCGCTACGTGGTGAATGAAGGCAATGGGGCGGAAGATCCGGCTGGGTGGCTGGGTGGCCTTGGGGGGCCAGAAGCAGGAGGAAGGGGCTGGAGGGGGCGAGGGAGCGCCTCGTGGCGGGAGGAGGGGGGGGGGGTCCAAGGCGCACAAGTTGGCACCTGGCTTCTTTCTCGGACCCCCTGGGAAAGGGAGAGGAGGAGGAGGTTGTGTTGGGTGGGTGGGTGGGTGAGTGAGTGAGTGGGGGCACAAAGGCGGAGAAGGACCCCAATCGCAGCCTCCCCCCCCCCCCCCGTGTGTGCACAAAGGCCGGGGGAAGGGAGGCGCACTGGGAAGAGAGACCCTAGCCAGGCGGAGGAGGCAGCATGGACTCCCGACTGAGAAGGATGGCTCGGGAGAAGGGTCTGAAAGGGCTGTGGCAAGGCAAGATGGGGGCGGTGGGCTTGCCAAGGGTGGAAGGCAGGGGGGGAAGGAAGGAAGGAGGGAAGCCTGGCTGGGAGGAAGAGGAGGAGGAGGAGGCTGGGCGCCCTGGGAAGGAAGGGGCTTTCAGGGCGGAGGGTGTGGGTGGGAAGCGTCCGAGGCAGGCAGCCCTGTGTCTCTTTTGGGGAGGGGGCTTGGCAGGACTTGGCCGTGGGAACGAATGGGACCAGCCCAGCCTGGGTGGGAGGCGTGTCTGTGACAGACTGAGCCACAGAGACAGACCTGCCCCAAGGCTGCCATGTGGCTTGGGAAAAGAAGGCAATGTTTCATGTATTGTCCAAGGCTTTCATGGCTGGAATCACTGCGTTGTTGTAGGTTTTTTCGGGCTACATGGCCATGTTCTAGGGGCATTCTCTCCTGACGTTTCGCCTGCATCTATGGCAAGCATCCTCAGAGGTTGTGAGGTCTCACATCTCACAGACCTCACAACCTCTGAGGATGCTTGCCATAGATGCAGGCGAAACGTCAGGAGAGAATGCCTCTAGAACATGGCCATATAGCCCGAAAAAACCTACAACAACCCAATGCAATGTTTCCCTGCTATAGGAGGACTCTGAGAGGCCAGAAGCCCCCAAAAGGTCCCCCTATGTATTCCTGAGAAGGATGTCTTCTGCAAGGTGTAAGCTAACCAACCATCTGTTTGATTCTAAAGCAAGAAATAAAAATAAGGGAGCATCATTGTGGAAGGCAGGTAAAGAGAGAAAGATCTGGCGAAAGGAAGGCTGCCATGTGGCTTTGGAAAGGAATGAATGTTTATTGTATTGTCAAAAGCTTTCATGGCTAGAATCGCTGGGTTGCTGTGTGGCCACGTTCCAGAAGCATTCTCTCCTGACGTTTTGCCCACATCTATGGAAGGCATCCTCAGAGGTTGCGAGGTCTGATGGAATCTAGGCAAATGAGGTTTATATATCTGTGGAATAATGTCCAGGGTGGGAAAAAAGTCTTGTCTGGGTTGCTGCAAGTTTTTTGAGCTGTATGGCCATGTTCCAGAAGCATTCTCTCCTGACATTTCACCTTCATCTATGGCAGGCAGCCTCAGAGGTTGCAAGGTGCGAAGGAATCTAGGCAAGTGAGGTTTATATATCTGTGGAATGTCCAAGGTGGGAGAAAAACGTATTGTCTGGGTTGCTGTAAGTTTTTTGGGCTGTATGGCCATGATCCAGAAGCATTCTCTCCTGACATTTCGCCTTCATCTATGGCAGGCATCCTCAGAGATTGCAAGATGTGATGGAATTTAGGCAAGTGAGGTTTATATATCTGTGGAATGTCCAAGGTGGGAGAAAAAAGTCTTGTCTGGGTTGCTGTAAGTTATTTGGGCTGTATGGCCATGTTCCAGGAGCATTCTCTCCTGACATTTCGCCTGCACCTATTGCAGGCATCCTCAGAGGTTGTGACCTCACAACCTCTGAGGATGCCTGCCATAGATGCAGATGAAATGTTAGGAGAGAATGTTTCTGGAATATGGCCATGCAGCCCAAAACAACCTCTGAGGATGCCCGTCATAGATACAGGCAAAATACCAGGAGAGAATGCTTCTGGAACATGGCCATGCAGCCCAAAACAACCTCTGAGGATGCCCGTCATAGATACAGGCAAAATATCAGGAGAGAATGCTTCTGGAACATGGCCATGCAACCCAAAACAACCTCTGAGGATGCCTGCCATAGATGCAGGCAAAATGTCAGGAGAGAATGCTTCTGGAACATGGCCATGCAGCCCAAAACAGCCTCTGAGGATGCCTGCCATAGATGTAGCAAAATGTCTGGAGAGAATGCTTCTGGACCATGGCCATGCAGCCAGGCCCGTAGCCAGGATTTCGTTTCGGGGGGGGGGGGTTAATTTTTTTTCAGGGGGGGGTTGTTTCGGGGGGGGGCTGAGTCTGAGTGAAAGAGGGTCTAGCCTAGCTAACCTTTTGTATCATTACCCCAATACCCCCATGCATATGGGATATATTGAGTATGGTGATCAGATCATGATATGAATAAACATAACAGTTTAAATAATGCACCAGTAAGGCCTTTTCGCGAACCACCATGAGAATTTCGAGGGGGGGGGGCTGAAGCCCCCCAAGCCCCCCCCCCCGGCTACATGCCTGCATCAGCCAAAACAACCTCTGAGGATTCCTGCCATAGATGCAGGCAAAATGTCCAGAGAGAACATGGCCATGCAGCCCCAAAAACTTACAGCAACCCAGTAATTCCAGCCATGAAAGCCTTCAAAACTCTTGTCTGTTTGAGGCAGGTGTGAATGTTGCAATCGGCCACCTTGATTAGCATCGAATGGCTTTGCAGATTCAAAGCCTGGTTGCTTCCTTTTAGGAAGGAAGTGCCCAAACATGAATCAAGGAACATGAAAGGCACTGCAGACTACTTCAACCAGAGAAGTCAGCTATAGTAGAGCACTTGATGAATCAAAATAGACACAGCATATTATTTGAGAGCACAGAAATGCTGGACCACCTGTTTGAGGCAGGTGTGAATGTTGCAATTGGCTAGCTTGATTAGCATTGAATGGCCTTGCATCTTCAAGGTCTGGCTGCTTGTTGCCTGTGGAATGAATGTTTTCCTGATCCTAGGAGGAGGACTCTGGAAAGCGGAGATCCCCAGAAAGGTCTGCCTGTGCCTAGGCTGGATATTGGCTTCTGGAAGATGTAACTAAGCACCCGCGTACATTTAAGGCAGTAAATATGCAAACTCATAAATAAAGGAATGTCATTGTTTCGCATTGTGAACAGCGCCTGTAATTGTTCCTTGAGGGAATGCGGTATGGTTGGGGCTCTGTCAAAGAAAGCGAGCAAGGAGAAACTGCTGTCGCGCACCAATTTATTTTTGTTAGGTTCAAGGAACCTGTGAAGATTTATATACTATTTTTGTCAAAGGTGATATTTTCTTCACCTGAAGTGTCACACCGTGATGCCACATGATAAACAACTCATCCTGAGCCGTAATAATCTGGAATAAAGGACATGTAAAAGGAGGGTGTGGCGGGCAAGCTATTTTTATGGGGCTGCCAAAGGTGCCTGCGTACATCAATGTGCAGAAACCCCACAAAATGGAGAGGGAAACATTGATGTCTGCAGAAGACTTTGACGTCTCGTGAGTGTGCATGACGAATACAGGCTGAACATCTCTTACCTGGGATTCCAAAATACTCCCAAGTTATTTACATGGAGGGTGGAGATAGAGATGCATTTGCTTTGTTTCATTGACAAATGCCTTCAAATCACCCCCCAACCGATGGCCATCCAGCCTCTGTTTAAAAGCCTCCAAAGAAGGAGCCTCCACCACACTCCAGGGCAGAGAGTTCCACTGCTGAACGGCTCTCTCAGACGGAATTTCCTTTCTTGAAGTTTAAGCCATTGTTCCATTGCGTCCTTGTCTCCAGGGCAGCAGAAAACAAGCTTGCTCCTTCCTCCCTATGACTTCCTCTTACATATTTATACATGGCTATCAGGTCTCCTCTTGGTCTTCTCTTCTTCAGGCTAAACATGCCCAGCTCTTTAAGCCACTCCTCATAGGGCTTGTTCTCCAGATCCTTGATCATTTTAGTTGCCCTCCTCTGGACACATTCCAACTTGTCAGCATCTCCCTTCAGTTGTGGTGCCCGGAATTGGACACAGTATTCCAGATGTGGTCTAACCAAGGCAGAACAGAGGGGTAGCATGACTTTCCTATAAAGCAGTAAACTAGCTTTTCTCAACCTAGAGGTCGGGACCCTTGGGGGTTTCACGAGGGGGTGTCAGAGGGGTCACCAAAGACCACCAGAAAACACAGTATTTTCTGTTGGTAATGGGGGTTCTTTGTGGCAAATTTGCCCCAATTCTATCATTTGTGCTCTTTGATTGTAGATGAACTATAAATCCCAGCAAGTACAACTCTCAAATGTCAAAGTCTATTTTCCCCCACCTCCACCAGTGTTCACATTTGGGCATATGGAGTATCCGTGCCAAGTTTAGTCCATCATTGTTTGAGTCCACAGTGTCTGGAAGTAGGTGAACTACAACTCCAAAACTCAAGGTCAATGCCCACCAAATCCTTCCAGTATTTTCTGTTGTTCATGGGTTCTGTGTGTCGAATTTGGTTAAATTCCATTGTTGGTGGAGTTCAGAATGCTCTTTGATTGTAGGTGAACTATAAATCTCAGCAACTACAACTCCCAAATGACAAAATCAACCCCCCAACCCCCTCCAGTATTCAAATTTGGGTGTATTGGGTATTTGTGCCAAGTTTCATCCAATGAATGAAAATACATCCTGCATATCAGATATTTACATTGCAATTCATAACAGTAGCAAATTTATGGTTCTGTAGTAGCAGTGAAAATACTACAAGAAAGGAGATTCCATCTGAACATTAGGAAGAACTTCCTGACTGTGAGAGCCGTTCAGCAGTGGAACTCTCTACTGCGAAGTGTGGTAGAGGCTCCTTCTTTGGAAGCTTTTAAACAGAGGCTGGATGGCCATCTGTCGGGGGTACTTTGAATGCAATTTTCCTGCTTCTTGGCAGGGGGTTGGACTGGATGGTCCATGAGGTCTCTCCCAACTCTGTGATTCTATGATTCTAATGTTATGGGCCACCACAACATGAAGAACTGCATTAAGGGGTCGCGGCATTAGGAAGGCTGAGAACCACTGCCCTAAACTGTTCCAGCCCAGCTTACCTGTCCAAACGTATCTCCCTCTATGATCCACCTCAGTGGTTAAGATATTCTGGAGAGGCCTTGCTCCCAGTCCCATCTCCTGGATAGCCATCTGTTGAGGGTGCTCTGAATGCAATTTTCCTGCTTCTTGGCAGGGGGTTGGACTAGATGGACCTCGAGGTCTCTTCCAACTCTTTGATTCTATGAAAATCATAATAAAAAAAATGATAAAATGGTAATAGAACTAGACAAAGAGAGCAATGAAGAGGAGGGAAGACTGTGTAGAGAGCATATGTTTGTGTTGTGGGCATTATGTGTTTTTGTCATCCAACCCAAATAGGGAAATTTGTGTGGCTCCACTGAGGGAAGGTGCAAGTGTAGGTCATGCGTAATCTCAAATTTGCTTACTTCTCCCAAGAGGTTTTATTTAAAGATTGTGTCTTTTCAGCTGTATTCGGTGTATCTGGAAGGCTTCCTTTTCTGCAAGGTTCGTTACAGTCAGCTGCACCACTGGAATGAACAGGTAAGGCATTCCTGCTCATTGGGCTTCTTCTTTCATTATCGCGGCTCCTTTTTCATCTTCTGCCAGAGGATTTTTCAGAAGTGGAACATTTAATATAACATCCCTTCCGTGCCCAAGCAGGGACAGCGTCACTTATGAGTCTCAGCTATATAAACTTTGACCATATTGATACATCTTTTAAACTATTCTTTTAGTTTGAAGTGCACGATCTCCTTCTAGATATGTACATGAATGGGATTATCTGTAGGCTAGCAGTTTACTGTTACTTGAAACTTGGTGGGCGTGTGCTTTGAAAGAGGTTAATTACATTTATGCTCTCTTTCCATGCCCTTGCGTTCTATTTCCTGAGACTATTACCAGAACTGGAGGAGGAACAGAATCAGTTTGCTCTCTCCTATTACAAAAGTCAAGGACAGTTAAGTATTAGGCTGCACACACCCAATAATTCTTGAGCGAACAATGCCAGCCTGGCTAATAGTCCCAATGAAATGGTAGGGCAGGAACATTAGTGCATGGAAAAACATTGGGTGAAGGACATTGCTGCAGGGAGAAATGTCTATTTGCCTCCTACAGAAAATTCTGAAAATTGTATGATGGCATAAAGAGATGGATAGGAAAATGGGTGCTATATTTGTACTGGAGGGAGAGAGGCACCTTACGACCCTAACAACAATAGCACTCAAAGTTTTGTTACCCATTACACAGTGATCCACAACTAAAATATGGTCTCACCATTGCAACAAGAGCGACTGGTCTCACGAAACCCTCTTATAGTGCTGAGGCTTATTAAATATGATTTTCTGTGGGTGACCAGATGATGACTACTGGATGGCATATGTTCTGTATCAGAAACTAGAGCTGATGTGGTCTATCCAATGCAATTTTCAGAATCAGCACCCCATATAACCAAACCAAATCTAAAGTTGACCAAAAACTGATTCATAACCTTTTTGGTACTAATGTTGGAGAGTGGTCCCTGGTCAAAAAAAGGTTGGAAACCACTGCTTTATGTAGAGGTTTATAAACAGAGGCTGGATGGTCATCCATCAAGTGTATTTTATTTGCGTATACCTACATGGTTGAATTGGATGGCCCTTGTGGTCTCCTCCAGCTGTTTGCTTCTATGAATGGGACCACTGTATCTCCTTAGGCCAGTAGATCATTGACTCATTCAAGGGTGGTCAAGAGCAGATCTATAGCTGTATGTGGCCTTCAAGTGCTGTTTTTGAGAAGGCACAATTCAGAGGTATTTTCCAAAAACATTTAGCACAGGCATGAGCAAACTTCAGCCCTCCCAAGTGTTTTGAATTTCAACTCCCACAATTCTTAACAGCCAGTCCAAAACACTTGCGAGGCCCAAGTTTGCCCATGCCTGATTTAGCATCTAACCAGGGTTGTTGTTTAAGGGGAGATAAATTGTTGCGTGTATATAACTTTTTAAAAGCTGCCATTACATTTTAATTGCCTTTCTATTCCTATTTGAATCATAGCATTATCTAGGTACCATATGTGCCACTTGTGGTAGATAGATGTGATGAAAAATAACATAATGAATTAATGCGGCACCTTCTGACAACTACATTTATATGGAATGAATAGCCTATCTGGGGTTACTTTTTAACACTAACATCCTTGAAGGCCATTGTCTTTAGATACGTTTACATGTGTATCTTCCTATCAGTTTATGTTTTCATTATTTGACACCTGGAAACATTGCTTGGATATTAAATGTCAGAAATTGATTGGTACCTTGCTACTCTTTGACTCTTCTTTCAGCTGAGACGTGTGTTTGGACGAGGCATTCCTTCCTTTCCTCCGAAATTCTACCTTGCAATGACAAAGTCAATGGCTGATGAAAGGAGAGCTAACCTAGAACAATATCTACAAAATGGTAATGCGGATTTGTTTTCTTGTTGTTCTTGGCTGTTGTTTAAACAAATCCATTTTAGTGATGTATGTTGCAAACATTAAATGCTTGTCCTGCAGAAGAGTGGATGGAGGAGGAAATATATTAATTCGTAGGTTAGTGCATTTCAGCTGAACCTCGATCTGTTTCTGCTGTCTGGATATTGGTAGACCACTCCGTATCCACTTTTGCGTGAGTCCTGAAAATGGGTAGGTGGATGGAAAGCAATTTTTTATCTGTTGCCAATAACTTTGGCTAGATCCAGCCCATTGGCGGCAATGGGGAACTTATGAGGCTCCCCTTTCTGTTCCTGGGAAACTTATGAGGCTCTCCTTTCCTTTGTTTTTCCTGGGTGCCTGGGTGCCAGCAACAGGGTTAAGGAAGAACCCTTCCTGGGAGCCTTTCCTTTCTTCAGGGGAGCCTGGGTGTCAGCAATGGGGTTAAGAAAGAACCTTATCCAGCCCATTATTGGGGGGGACGGACTTCCCACAGGCTCCCCTTCCATATCAAGATCTAGAGTTAAGATACCACTCTTTCCCTTCTGTTTGTAGAGGAGACTGGATTTAATGCTTCTTAAAGCTATTTCTACTCTAGAAAGCAGGTGCGCATGCTTTCTCCCTCAGAAGCAGCAGCATGCCACGCGGCTTTCCAAGGCATTTTAAGGAGGCCCAGGGAAGGAAGAGCAATGATCTGGAGTTCTGTGCAACTATCCTCCCTGGACTACCTTAAAAATCCCCTCTCTTTTCTCTACTGCCTGAAATGTCCTTTCTGCTTGGGGTTTTGTTTCCTTAAAACTGTTTCTACTTTCTACTCTAGAGCAGAGGTAGACTTCTCTTTTTGTTTGATGGATTACTATTATTATTATTAATAATAATAATAATTAGTATTATCTTTTAGAAGTATTTTTTGAAGGAGAGGAAGGGAAGGAGAAAAAGAACCTAAAAGAGTGACTCTCCAAGCCCCCAAACGTGCATGTGCACCCCCCCCCATCCTGCAGGTCCCCACCTCCAAATCAGTCTCTCTAAAAAGAATATGGAAAATCAAGGAAAATTAAAAAAAAAGATTCAACTGTGATGCCGAATAAGGGAGGAGGAGCCATGATCGGCTGCCATGTGGTCCCATTTCGGATGGGAATCCATGATGGTTGGGCCGTTGCCGTTACAGGCACCCAAAAAACCCGAAGAAGCTGAATTGGCCGAAGGGAATGGCTAAAATGGATCCAGGCTCAAGTCTATTACTTCCTTCTTCCAAATTTTGAAAATTCCCTCCTGCTGGTTGGAATGAGGGAACAATGAGCTATAGCTGTAAGAGGAATGGAATTTACTTTGGAGTGTCTTCGTAAGTGGAAACTGCAGTAGGAAAGTAGACAGGATGCCTCTTGTGTAAGCATCTTATACTCAAACAGCTTCCCTGAATTTGTACTCTGTAGTCAAGGAAACGGACATCCAAGTCTGGGGTGGAAATCCCTAAAAATGCATATCATTAATTTGGGATGTGAACATCCTGAAAACCATTCAGTGTCCTTTCTGAGCTCTCCATTGTGCAACAATAGTATTAGAATTAACGTATGTGCACCTTTCAATATAGTCCACAATATATGTATTGCAACTGGTACCAATTATTTTAAAATGCAATGTCTGTTTCTGCATTATTTATGAAACAGCTTTTGTTTCACGTGTCGTTTTCTCACAGCTCTCAGCCCTGATTTTTGTGCCTTTACCTTTCAGTGTCCATTGATCCTAGTATCACAAACAGTGAAGTTTTTATCAGTTTCTTTCGGAAACTACAGCAGGTAAGTGATAGTTATAGTGTGTGTGTGTGTATGTGTATGTGTGTGTATGTGTTGAAAAACCAGTTGTTTTTGGTTGCATGCTTTTATGTATTTATACTTTAATTTTCTAGCACACATCGCAAGGAAGAAAAGCTGTTATCTAGGTTGGCTGAAACCTAGATCATTATTAGAAAATAACAAGTAGGGCCTCCAAGGTTGGGTTGCTGTGAGTTTTCTGGGCTGTATGGCCATGTTCCAGAAGCATTCTCTCCTGATGTTTCTCCCATATCTATGGCAGGCATCCTCAGAGGTTGTGAGGACTGTTGGAAACTAGGCAAGGGATGTTTATATATCTGTGGAATGTCCAGGGTGGGCGAAAGAACCCTTGTCTGTTTGAGGCAAGTATGAATATTGCAATTGACGACTTTGATTAGCCTTGCAGCTTCTAAGCCTGGCTGGTAGCTGCATGGGGGAATGTTTTGTTGGGACAAATTAGCTGGCTCTGATTATTTCTTGTCTAGAATTCCCCTGTTTCCTGAGTGTTGTTCTTTATTTGCTGTTCTGATTTTAGAGTTTGTTTAAGTACTGGTAGCCAGATTTTGTTCATTTTCATGGTTTCCTCCTTTCTGTTGAAGCTGTCCACATGCTTGTGGATTTCAATGGCTTCTCTGTGTAGCTTGACATGGTGATTGTTAGAGTGGTCCAGCATTTCTGTGTTCTCAGATAATATGCTGGTTCATCAAGTGCTCTGCTGTGGCTGACTTCTCTGGTTGAATTATTCTGCAATGCTTTTCATGTTCCTTGATTCGTGTTTGAGTGCTTCCTTCCAGGCAGGAAGCAGCCAGGCTTTGAAGCTGTGAGGCTATTCAATGCTAATCACGGTCATCAATTGCAACATTCACACTTGCTTCCAACAGACAAGAGTTCTTTCTCCCAACGTGGACATTCCACAGATATATAAACCTTTACTTACCTGATTTCCAACAGACCTCACAACCTCTGAGGATGCCTGCCATAGATGCAGGTGAAATGTCAGGAGAGAATGCTTCTGGAACATGGCCATACAGCCATTGAATTCACTACATTGAATTAGCCTCCAAACCCTGATAAGAATTGATGACAATTGCAATTTGATTCTTATACAAATATATGACCAAACTATTATCAATGTGACATTAAATTATCCATATACATATGGTAATAATGTGATATCCTTGAATCTGCATTGTTGTTGTAATGTTTTTTCTTCTTCCGTGTCAGGAGTGACTTGTGAAACTGCAAGTCGCTTCTGGTGTGAGAGAATTGGCCGTCTGCAAGGACGTTGCCCAGGGGACGCCAGGATGTTTTACCATCCTTGTGGGAGGCTTCTCTCATGTCCCTGCATGGGAAGCTGGAGCTGACAGATGGGAGCTCACCCTGCTCCCTGGATTCAAACCGCTGACATTTCAGTGAGCAGTCCTGCTGGCACAAGGGTTCAACCCATTGCATAACCGGAGGCTCCTTATGTTATTATGTTATGTTACTTGTTGAGCAGACTGCTATTTTGATTTCTTCCAGTTTTATATCCTGTGGCTAGATAGAATATGTATTTGTACAGATTTGCTTTTTTCCCCTGTTCTTCTTCTCACAGTAGATAGTTGTTGACAGCTAGTTTCTCCAGTTCCACCTTTGAGAATGCTAGTGCTTCATGAATGATTTTTGTCTGGCCCAATTCTTACTTTATTTTTGGTAGATGCTGTTTACCGTAATCCTTTCAAAATGTAATTTATTCTGTTTCTGTCCCAGTTCAGCCAGCAGGTTCCCAACAAGCTTGTATACATCAGTGGAAATGCAATAAAACCACAATAAATGCTACCAAACCAAACAATACTGAAATCAACAATTGATTAAACATTAGGGATAGGTTCACAGAGAGAATTCCAGTTCGGTATTTAGAACAGACATGGGCAAACTTTGGCCCTCCCGGTGTTTTGGACTTCAACTCCCACCATTCCTAACAGCCTCAGGCCCCTTCCTTTTCCCCCTCAGCCACTTAAGCTTAAGCGGCTGAGGGGGAAAAGGAAAGGGCCTGAGGCTGTTAGGAATGGTGGGAGTTGAAGTCCAAAACACCGGGAGGGCCAAAGTTTGCCCATGCCTGATTTAGAATCAGCAGCAGTCAATTATAGGACCTAAAACATTTGGTAAACACTTATCTTGGTCTCAGATTAATAGGTTTTTCTGCTGATCGAAGGATTCTGGCGCTTGGAATCCAATTAATAACAACAATCATAATATTTTTCCAACTTCTGTGTTAATTTATGAATTTCAGCCTAATAACACCCCTCTGTATTCAAGTATGTCACCCAAATGACACCAACATTCTCTGGTTTCCACTTTGAATGTTGTAGGCAAAGCATAACTTACCTATTTTTTTCATTCCTTGGTGGTGAAATATTTCATGTTCTTCTTGTCCTTAAATCAGTGTTTCTCAACCTGGGGGTCGCGAGGAGTTTCAGAGGGGTCACATATTTCTGATGGTCTTAGGAATCCCTTTGGCATAGTCGTTTGGGCTCACAGTGCTCTCTGGATGTAGGTGAACAACATCTCCGCTAAATCACACTCAATTCATCCCAAGACCATCACGAAACACATAGTTCTGGTCTTAGGAATACCTTTGGCATAGTCGTTTGGGTTCACATTGCTCTCCAGAGGTAGGTGAACTACATCTCCGCTAAATCACTCTCAATTCATCCCAAGACCATCACAAAACACATAGTTCTGGTCTTAGGAATACCTTTGGCATAGTCGTTTGGGTTCACATTGCTCTCCGGAGGTAGGTGAACTACATCTCCGCTAAATCACTCTCAATTCATACCAAATCCCTCTAGTATTTTCTGTTGGTTATGGGGGTTCTGTGTAGGAAGTTTGGCCCAATTCTATCATTGGTGGGGTTCAGAATACTCTTTGATTGTAGATGAATTATAAACTCCAGCAACTACATCTCCCAAATGTCAAAGTCTATTTTCCCGCACCTCCACCAGTGTTCACATTTGGGTATATGGAGTATCCGTGCCAAGTTTAGTCCATCATTGTTTGAGTCCACAGTGTCTGGAAGTAGGTGAACTACAACTCCAAAACTCAAGGTCAGTGCCCACCAAACCCTTCCAGTATTTTCTCTTGGTCATGGGAGTTCTGTGTGACAAGTTTGCTTCAATTTTCCCCAAGCTCCACCAGTATTCACATTTGGGCACATTGAGTAATAATGCCATGTTGGTCCAGATCCATCATCGTGCTCTCTGAATGTAGTGAACTACAACTACAAAACTCTAGGTCAATATCCACCAAACCTTTCCAGTATTTTCTGTTGGTTATGGGAGTTCTTTGTGCCAAGACTGGCACACAATCTCCATCATTGACTCCATCGCTGGTGGAGTTCAGAATGCTCTTTGATTGTAGGATAACTATAAATCCCAACAACTACAACTCCCAAATGTCAAAAGAATTCCCCACAACCCCACCAATATTCAAATCTGGGTGTATCAGGTATTCGGTGCAGTAAATGACAATATATCCTGCATATCAGATATTTACATTACGGTTTGCAACAGTAGCAAAATTACAGTTATGAAATAACAATGAAAATAATTTTCTTGTTGGGGGGTCACCATGACATGAGGGACTGTATTAAGGGGATCATAGCATTAGGAAGTTGAGAATCACTGCTGTAAATGATTCCCAGTAAACTTTGTGAGACCTTGTTTAAAAGATGACAAGGCTTCTTGGGACTTAGCACTAAATAAATAAGCTTTGGGTTGTGTCAGGACATGTAACGATAAGCATGTTGAGGTGAAAATGTCAGCATCTTCTTGTCTCGTAATGGTGCTGACAGCTCCGATCTGGCACGTACTTCGAGGCTGGAAGTTCAGGTTACAACATTTGGTTTTTTTTAATGTTCTCAATCTGGGTGTGAGCTGTGGGCCATAAGGTGCAGTGTTGCAAGGCAGGGGGATAGGTAGGTCCTGCAAATCTTGGAGGATGACTCATATGGGAGAAAAAATAGGTACATAAATAACATAAACAAACAATAGCAAAGTTGAGCTGCTGCTGTTTTCTCAGTATTTATATTCAGTTAAATGTCACAGCACTGACTTAAATGGCATGACAGAGAATCTTGTGGCACCTTGTTGTTTATTCGTTCAGTCGCTTCCGACTCTTCGTGACCTCATGGACTAGCCCAGGCCAGAGCTCTCTTTCGGCCGTCGCCACCCCCAGCTCCTTCAAGGTCAAGCCAGTCACTTCAAGGATGCCACTACCCATCCTACCCTTGGTCGACTCCTCTTCCTTTTCCCTTCCATTTTCCCCAGCATCATTACCTTCTCCAAGCTTTCCTGTCTTCTCATGATGTGGCCAAAGTACTTCATCTTTGCCTCTAATATCCTTTCCTCCAGTGAGCAGCCAGGCTTTATTTCTTGGAGTATGGACTGGTTTGATCTTTTTGCAGTCCAAGGCTCTCTCAGAGTTTTCCTCCAACACCACAGTTCAAAAGCGTCTATCTTCCTTCGCTCAAGCCTTCCTTATGGTCCAGCTCTCACATTCATAGGTTATCACAGGAAATACCATTGCTTTAACTAAGCTGCATCTTTGTTGCCAGTGTGATGTCCCTACTCTTCATTATTGGCACCAGAGCCCCCAGTGGCACAATGGGTTACCCTTCCCAAATCAGATGGCATCTAGTGCTTTTAGGATGTTTAAGTCATAAAATACAATTCCTATGCTTAGAATAGAATCATTTTCTTTAAATGTACATCTTTTGCATGTGCTGCTGATTGGTAGAAAAAGCCATGTATTTCAATATAATTTTGCACTCAGAATGACTGTTTTGTTAGATGCCCAAACGATAGGTGGGGTCAAGTCTATGGCAAGGATCCCCTGGTTGTGCAATCAATTAAACCCTTCTGCTAACATGACTGAAGACCGTTAGGTCACAGGTTCAAATCGAGAGAGAGTGCGAATGAGCTCCCTCTGTCAGCTCCAGCTCCTCA